CACTTAGTGACTTTCCATATCCTGCCTTCAATTTCCTAACGGCAAGAACATTCTAGCTTCAGCAAAACCCCTTCCCTTATTGGCAAAACCCCCTTCCTAACCAGAAACTAAATTCCGACACCCCCCACACTGTCTCCAATCCCCGCCTCCAAAACACCATCTCAACTACACTCCGCTCTCTTTATGATTACACTCCTCAACTAGCCAATATTCTATCGCTCCCCACTCCCCGCTTTCTCCTATGTTCCAGATCCCCGGCGCCCAAACTAGCAACTTACCTCTTCTCCATACATTACCTTACCCTAGATCCACGTTATCCTGCACTTCCGGTGAAGTTACGCATGACCTAATCCGGTTGCCTCATTAGTTCACTAAACTCACAAACAAGGGCATGTTACGCGGCCAATTCCAGTTCCAACAATTGACTGTCCCATCCCCTCTTCTGCCACGAGTCCCTGCGGTCTAAACCAGCACCACACCCCCTCTCCCTCCCCAACTTTCCCCTTCCCGCCTCCTTTCTGTCCCCACCCCTCTCAGTCTACTTCATCATCTCTCAGAGAAACATTATCAAGTGCTCAGGGAACACCACCCAGCCTTCCAAAAACGTCACCATGACGTTCTATCGTGTCTCATTAGTGCTGAAATGGCTGCGTTTTGCACCAAAAGAATGCAATTACAAAAACTCGGCGCGGATCCGCTCGGCTGGTGATCTGTGGTGCCTGAGCCTTTCAACTCTTTGCTCCATTTTGCTCTATCATCCCTGCCAACACTATTTCGCGGCGCCGCTTGCTAGAAGTTTGCCAGGCGCGCTGGGAAGCGCTGCCCAGCGTCTAATGGCTGGGTCACGTGGCTGTTGAGCGGGAAGGGGTGATGGGTGGAAGGACTGGACGTGGTTGGGGGTGTTGGTTGGTAGTTGCCAAGATACAGCTCAGAGGGCGCGACTGAGGCCAGAATAATGGGGAAGAATGAAGTTGCTGGTTAGGAGTTCAGAGCGATAAACCGTGACAGTGGTTGGAGGTGGTAAATGCCCCGATGCGGCTCTAGAAGGCAGGGATTGAGGACAAGATACAGGAGGGGAAGAAGGGTTCTAGTCAGGAGTTCGAAGCAAGAACTGCAGATAGCATCAAAGAGGAAAATAAACCAACACGGCATTACAAAGAAAAGTAAATTAAAACGAACCTGATTTTGTGAATAAAAGGAAAAAAAGCAAAATCAAAGAATTGGAGCTTGTAATCAAAAGCAAAAAAACAAAAGTAAACAAAAACTG